ACTCCATTGGAATTTGAGACCTCTCAATTTGTAGCGTAGCTTGTGTTTCTGACCATGCTGGTGGCCGTCCTCTTTGGAGCTGATCCACCTGGGGCAAGCAGCCTGAGCTTGCGTAAGGATTCCCCATGCATCCTGTGTTGCTGCTGTTTGAGGGTTTTGAATCCTTTTTCCTCCTTTCTCTTCATATATAATGGGTAACACAGCTGAAATGACAGGCTATTTCTCATGAATGTCAATCGAGACAGGAAATCCACTGACTACATAAAGATTATTGAAACCTATTTTGTCCTTCAGTTTTCTTTCAAAGGTTATTGAAACCTGTTTTGTCCTTCAGTCTTCTTTCTAGTCTTCAATGTATTTTTAGCCTGACTTTTCTTCTGCGTTCAAGTAGATTGTTTTCCACCCTCTCCCCCAAGAGAGCTTGTGAACTTATGGACAAGCTTCAACCAAATACGACAGAGGTTTAGGTTCTTAAAAGATACTGAGTTTCTATGAATTTAATGGAAAATTTATGGACAAGAAGGAGGAGAGAGAGACACCCATATAGTGTCCTCCCAAGGAGAAAGCTGTACCACCAGCTCAGCTGTATTATCTGCCAGAATACCACTCTCCCCATATTTAAAGTAAAACCCTTTGGTCAGAGCCTGCACCTTCTTAGACGCAGGATAATCAACCACAAAGCTACAGGAAACCAGCTTTATAACGTCTCTTCCTCACAGCATTAATTGTTTTGGTACTTTGCATTTTTATTTCTGCTTGACTTTTTCTGAACTTGTGGGTGAGGAGTTTATGGGCATTACTTTCCTTTTAGTACTTAGAACAAAGCTCTTTCAGATTTTCTCTGGTTATGGCTCCATTTCCCTATAGCAGCCTTCTCTCTTAAAAGCTGAACTCTGACACTTACAGCTTCTGATCTTAATCCCTCGCTATTTCTTTTAATTTTCTAGCCCAGAAAGTACCTGAATTTGTAGTGGGTGGATGAAGTATAGAAACCAAATCACAACTTCCATATCATCTTGGCATCCTAGAGGCAGAAACACAACTTTTTATTTTTCCTCCTACATTTGCTTTAACCGTCTCTTTAGTCAAAAAAGATTAAACCTGGGTGAAATTGTACTCCAGTTAGGTGTGAGCTTTGGTAGATTCACATGTTGAGAATCACAGCACTTCCTATAGTGCTTCTGTGAGTAACGCTTTCAGCTTGTGCTTATTTTACAGCAGCAGCTACCTGGTTTTTCCCTCTGGCCTTGGAAAATAGTCCTGATAGGCTAGTTAAGTGTCAGGTTAGAATTTGTGTCTACATGCAGCCACGTGCGAGGGTTTGTATGGACTCTAGGCTGGGTAATACAGCTAATAACATTCATCTCATGCACTTAGAGCCCTCGTCCGAGAAGTCTTTCAAACTTGGCTACAGCGTGCGCTAGAAATTGGGTGGCACTTTCACAAAGTGGTGGCCTGCCCACTTCATAAGAAACCAGTCTTTTGATGATTGTGGGGTGTCTTCCTAATATGCCTGTAATATGCCCAAAAGGACTGATAAAAATCGTGAGGTGGTTCAATACATTAAAAAGCCGCAGGATTTCCCCTTGAAGACCTGCTGGCATACCGGAGCGAGCCCTCCACCGCATGAGAGTGCGAGGACTTGAAACATCGCAGCTTGCGCTTGGTCTGGGCTAACCCAGCTTCTGAGAGTTTTGGTGGTTTTGGCGAGCTAGAGCAAGTCCAGAAAACCAAGAAATAATTCACCGTTCCTGGTTTTTTTTTAAACACAGCAGAAAACTGTCAAAAGCAGCCTGTTAGACTCAAAGCCTTGACAGCATGCTGATGCTGTCTATATATGGCTTCTAGAAAAGTGGCTCTATCTTTTCAAGACAAGGCTGTCTTCTCTTGTGCTTGTACACAACAAAGTATTTCCAGTTAACATAATGGATGTAGCGAAACGTACCTTTTTTGCTGGCAGAGGTGGAAGGTAAAGTTTCTGATACTGTTAACTCTTGAGCATGACATGGTAGAGTAGCAGAAAAGTAGCTTTTGACGTAAGTTGTGTTGAAATGCCTTGGTTTTGCATGCATTGTGAAATTGTTAAAGATATCGTGAAATACAGGAAGACAGTGCTTTGTGCACAGAAATGCTAATTTTACTGCGAGAACTGTAGTCTTCAATTTCCCTTGTGATTTCTTTTTTTAAGAGAAGTGGTTATGTTACTTTTTAATACTCATTTTAATATAGAATATGGTTACATTTACATTCACGTCAGCTTTAGTTGCATTTCAGTGTATTTCTATCTGGCCTATTATAGTCTTAAGCTGAAAAAGTACAAAGGAGTCTCTCTGCTTTTATTTTCTTAGCTTCCTTCACTTCTTACTATATGCAAAATATGTATTTAGCTGCCTGCATTGCCCCATTCACTGTGTGTCTCTGTTAAAGAATTCTAAGGACTAGTAGTAGTTTAATGACCTGCTAAACAGTAGTTCAAGGCAGGAATAATTTGTCAAAAAACAGGAGAAAATTAATCATTACTTCACTGAAGCCTCTCTGCTGTGTCTGTATTTGGCCTAGCAAGCTAAACAGGAATCACTGATTCGGATCCTTACTGTGACCCCGAAAGCCGTCAGCCTGCTGTTCCCCTCTGTGCAGTTGTGCTGGGAGGTGTTTTTGGCCAAGTGCTAGTTAAGCTTTTACTTATGTAGGTTACAAAATCATCTGGCTGCTCAGTTCTCACTGGGGATGTGGGTACTCAAAGAGATTACAAAATTGTGTTTGAAAGCATGGGCACAAAAGAAATAATCCTCTGTGTATTTGCTTCACTGGCTTGATTGGTGTGAAAAGAATGAAAATTGAAGATAGTGAGATGAGAATACCAAGTCTGCTCTCCCTCCTGGTTCTCTGAAATGTGGTAAGGCTCATTTTAACCTTCCTCCATTTCCCTGGAATAGCATAGGTGGTAAGAGAAGTCCGAATCGTTGCAGGTCCTTTTGCAGTTTCTCTTCAACTGTGTAACTGAACTGTGCTAAATGGCGCTAATCTGAGCTGTGAAAACAAGCTGCTGCAGTGTTAGACAGAAGCAGATGAAGTTTGGAGTCGAAGCTGTGTGGATGTTGCTGTTAAATGTGATAGAAATTGTCAGACAGGTGCAAATCAGTGCCAGTGCTGGTGACTGCTGCGGGGGGGAATGCCGTGTAAAATCTGTGTTAATATTTCTGTTGCTTAGTAACCCTGACCTTGGGGGTTATCTGAAAGGGGCTCACAGTGGAATTTTATTCATTTCCTGAGAGCTCTGCAGAAGCAGCACCATCCGAGTGCCCTTTTTTCAGAAATCAAGTTAACAAGAGACAGGCATACTCGCATTGTGGGAAATACCGATAATTTTCCTGGGCGACTGGGTTTAATTTAACTGTATTCTCTATAGGGACTGCAAGTATGAAACGCTCCTATGGTACCTCGTAGTGCATGTGACCTGTTTGCGTGCTCCACGGTTACTGAGAAATAACACTTCAAGCCCTGAATAGCAGTAACTGGAGTCTGTTCCAAGTTGTCTAATTGCTGGACTGAATTTGGGCTCATTGCAGGGAGAGCTTAGTGGGACTGATCTGTTAACTCTTCTGTTTCTGAGCCCCATTCATTGGTCACCAGCATATAAACTTTGGTGGTGGTTTGGACCAGGTTTCCCTGATGCCCCTGACTGAATTTGTATTGAAAATTTAATACCTCTTGAGGAAAGGAAAACCGTGCTTTTAATAAATAAAAAAAAAAAAGGCAATGTGCCCTACAGCAGCTGGCATACAAGCAAGCAGTTTAGGTGGTTCAATGTTATTGGTGCTTCTAGGTGCCTTAACTAAGACTGGTTAAATGCTTTCCCAAATGCAGTAAGGTTGTTGAAATAGGGTATGTAAAAGCACGGAAGTGTGTGTGTTCGGGGGCCGGGAGACAGAACTGGAGGCTGGGAAGAGCATGCGACTTCTGGGTATGTGGGTAAGTTTACGATGCAACCCAGATCTTCTGGTTCCGAGAGCTTTATCCACTAGCTCGGTGCCATTCAAATGGCAGGCTCTGGTCTAGGTGGACTGGCTAAAATTTTGTGGTTCTAGAGTGCCCTCTGCTTCTGCAGGGTTTCCATAGTTCTCGCCCTTCTGGTCACTTCAGAAATAGCCACAGCGTGCTGCTTCAGGTCCCCGTGAAGAGACAAGTACTTGCCAGAGCTGGAGCCGATGTGTTGCTTCCATCAGAAAGGGCCTCGCTAGAGCTTCCAGTAGACTTGAATAAAAATTGACCAGCCCTGAAATGTATCATACCTAATGCCTTTTTTAAAACATAATATTGACAATGTCAAGTTTGAGCTACAGTGTCTCTCCTCCTTAGAAATACCAAATTCTTTGCTGAATGTCTTTAACATCTCTGATGTTTTCACTTACTCCCAAACACAATCCTGACTGAAATCAGAGTGCCACAACAGTAATGACGTTGCAGCAATTTCTGGATTGCTAGAAATGTACAGCAGGTGAGCTTATGAGGGACAGATGCCCCTATTTCAGTGCCAAGTGTCCCTAGAGACAGTAGAAAAGAAGGAAAGAATTTGAGACAAAATATTGTGAAAGAAAGCTTAGGAGTAGTTGCCTCTTATTTCAGAGAATTTCAGTCCAGAATTTTGATCAGAAAGTAGTAATTGGTGACACTTAACCCAAAATACACAAGTGCTGACACGAATGTCTTTGTAGCTTGCTGAAATTACTGCATGCTTTGCTTTGAAAATCTACCTAAAAGAAATTCTGGAAACATTTAGTTGCCTAATGAACAAATCTGTATTCAATTCTTCTTTCAGTCTGGCTCTTTTGATGCTGCCAGAGATTAAATTAAACTATGTGATAGTGTCTGTGGTTTTGTTCCAGCCATATACAATTTTCTACTATAAGATTTTCATTCCCAAAAATATGCTAATGAAGCTTTGACCTGACATGTATGGCTACTGGTTTGACTGTCTTTTTTCTTTTCTTTCAGCTTTGCAGTGTATGGATGATTCCAAGCCATGTGTTAATGAGGGAAGGTGCATTCCGTATCAAAATGGTACAGGATATTGCAAGTAAGTTGGTTTCATTTCTAAGCAATTTAATTACCAGTCATCTTTCATTCAGGGTCCTAGCCAGGAAGGAAATGTGACTTGTTAAGATTTTCTTACCAGGTGCATTCAGCATAATGGTTTTAGCGCAGTTGGTGTTTCTTGATAATGCATTAGTTCTTCTGTGCTAGCTTTTTGTAACGTAAGAAATCTGGAGTTCTTGATCAGATTTTCAGGTTTGGATGTTGTCAGTTTGATTTCTTTGTATTAGGTTAGGAAGCAAGGCCAAAGCAGTCATAGAGGTAAACTCTGTACCTTGCTTCCAGACCCACAAGTTAAGTTGGAACTTGCTCTCTGTCTTATATCTTGCCTTACTTTATAGACTTTCAGCCCCAATTTGAATGTTTTTCTGAGGTTTTTCAGAACTACTCTGAAGTGTGCCAGTTCCCTTCCACATGCTGGAGAGCAAGTAATATGTGGGAGTTGCAAAAACAAACTAACAAAAACCCCCAAACACCCACATTTGTCTTTATTATGTAATTGATTTTGGTAAATGTTGACACCCATCTTAATGGTGCCTTGGCTTTGCTGCTGCATCGGAAGCTGATCAGCAGGAGCTTTGGCAGAGCGTGTGGTGTCTGGAGAATGGTATCACATCTATTCAAATGCAGTTTACCTTTCAAACTGCAGTATTTAGATTTTTTTTAAAATGAAGTGATATATTGCAAAAAGATAAATCTTCCTTTTTCGGCAGTGTTAATTTACTACGTCTGCAGTAAATGGATTATTTTCTAAACCTTGTTTACTTCATCAGTGCATGTTGTGCCATTTTCTAGCATGCTAAATCCCTCTCTTAAGGCTAACATTCCTTAAATATTAGTGAATTTTGTCTTGTTGATTTAGCTTGGCTAACGCACAGCTCTGCTCTTCATCCTTTTCTACACATCAATCTTCCCTAGCCACAACCTTTAGTTCTTTCTGTTAATGTGGTACATAAAACTCGATATATTTCAATTGCACCTGTGGCACACAAAGGGGAAATCATAATCTAATTTGAGGTTCTTCTCAGTTTCAAATCAATACCTGGTGTGCAGAAAGGCCATAGAAAGGCAAATATGTAACTTGTTATTCCCTGTTGTTTTTTAGCAATTTAACTATTACTGCTTCTTAGTCTTTTTCCGTGGCTTTATATTGCTGTCAACCGAAAGGAGCTGCTCTTCTGAAAAGAAAGCTGGAATTTTTCCTGCTTTTCACCTGTATTTTAAGACTGAAACAAGAAATTGTGTGACATTAGCAGGTCTTTCTGACGCGTAGTTAAGCATGTTAAGTCTGGAGCCAAAGTATGTGGGTCATGATGAAGGTAATAAACAAGACTGGTATTGATGTTGGTGCTGCTTGTACCTCCCTAAGGATGTGGGGATATGTTCTCCAACTTGCATGTTCCTCTTAAACATGCCTTAAACTGTGTAAAAAAAAAAAAAAAAAAAATTTAAAAAAAAAAAAATTAGTTGGCTAATCTGATTAACTTCAGTACTTGTAGTGCAGTCCAGATCTTGACACATTTCCCTTATCACAGTGGCAGCTTCGACCACTGTTACATTTTTTTTTAGCACACAGAGTTATTTATAATTCTAATGTTGCCTTCTTCCTTTTTGTGCAAAGTCTTCTTGCAGGTCTTAAGTCAACCCCTCCTTCAAGTAACAGCTTGAGTCCTTTTGCAGGTGCTAGAGTAATTGGAAAGGCTAATAGAGGCCTGTATACATAGATTAGTATGTGTCTGTTTTCTAGTTCTGGCTCAAAACTCTTTTTTTGCAGAAAGGAAGGAAAAAATACCAAAAAACCTCGATTGTGGAGACTCTACCTTTAGCAGGCTGATTCTTAGCATCCTGTTTTGGTTTTAACTATTTTTTTTTTCCTTTCCTGCACTATGAGGAACTCTGAATAGGGGAACTTTCTATCTGGTGTAGCAACCTAAATGATTTTCTGAATTTTTGATGGCTGTAAGAGTAGAAATGTTTTGTTCAGGAAACGGACCTTATTACTAAAGCAAGTGGCTTGGCTTCTAGCACTGCAGGATCACTCACTGACTAGCTAAATCTCCACCCCTTCCACTTTCTTCAAGTTTTCTGCAGTACTTCCTCTGCTGGGCAATAAGTTATTATAATAGGCTCTCTTCCTCTTTCTGTACCTCCTCTCGGCAGAGTTGTTTGTTCTGGTGTGTGGTCGGTCCATCTAGTTAATCGTGCTGCCTGTAAGAAACAAGTGAACAGAGGAGGGAGACCTGCATCAGAGATAATCATATGAGACATGAGTAACATAAGCACCGATAAGCAAAACATCTAGTCTAGGTATTTGGCAAAGCAGCAAGTGACAGCTTAGTACTGAAACAGCTTGCTTTGTCAGAAAATCCTGTAGCGTCTACTCCATTAAAAAAGAAAGCTAGTTTTCTGCTAAGAAACCTTTGTTCTGGTGCATCTGGCTTCTGTTATGGGAACAGTGATTGTGACCCTTGTAAGGAAATCGGAGTTGGATCTTTATCAGATTGCTCTTGCGAGCGCCCTTTAAGTAGCTCTGTTCCCCTGGTGACGCTGCTGGCCCATGGCTGTCATTTTGTGGCACTGTTTGATAGAATTACTGACCTTCTCTGACCTTGATTTTATATTTAGAAAATTACACATTCCTGTGTTTGCATCTTCCAAGGTCAGAATTTTTGTCTGAGAGATCTTTCCACACCCATTCAGTGACTAGCATGGTCAGGACGCAGGCCTTATTCCAAGGAATATGGCCATATCTGCAGTAGCAGTATGAAGGGGATCTGTCATTCCAAGCTTTCTGGGTCTTGCTTTGACAAAAGGCAGTTTCAGTCTGGGGTTTGGCTTTGCATTGCACTGTGGTGGGATTTTGTTGTTGTGAGTTGCTTGTTGCTTAATGCTAATTGTGAACGTCACAGGAAAACCTTTTCTCATCTCCCCGCTGCTAGATGACTCGGAAAGTAGTAGTAGGAAGAGTCTGGGGGATAGTACTGCTAACTTGCAGTATTTCTGCAGTTGCAGGCAGGCTGAGAACGTGTGGGTACAGGGAGCTGTTTCAAGGACAAGCAGAGCAGAGATTTTTGGCAACGCTGCCCACTGTTTTCTGAGCACGAGAGTCTGCTCTGCTGCAGGTGGATGCAGGATTGGGCAGTGCCGCTGTGCTTGGAGTGGGGCAGGGCCCTGAAGCAGACAATATCTTGACTGGTTTCCCCATGTTTGGCAGCTGTGGCCTCTCCCAACTTCCCTCCCCTGTGCCCCAGTGACAGGGAGCAGAAGCAAGACCATGCCAGGGAGAGAAGCAGAAGTGAGAAGGAAGGGAGTTGGGGTAGGGGTGCTCCAAGGTTTAGGGAGGAAACTGGGCCTTGCTACTTCTTGTGCTTTGTAGGTTTTTAAGATGGGTGTTTTTGACCTTAGGTCTGTTGCACATTGTGTGCCCAGAAGGGATATTGGTACCTCTGTATGAACCAAAGTACTGCTTTAACTCTAGTGCCTTTTGTTGGGTCCTGATGGTAAAAACAAAACAAAACAAAAAAAAAAAACCCAAACAAACAAACAAACAAAAAACCACTAAAACAAAAAAAGCCCCAAAACAACAAAAAAACGTACAGTGGCAACCACGGCTTGTTTGCTGTGCGTAGTCAAAAGTGGAGAGTGCTGAAGTTGGCTATTCCAAAAGGACAATCTCCTTCAGCATATCCTTTCATGCCCAAAGCTGTCAGGATCTGTGCAGCTTTATGTGCTTCTGTGCCTCTTCAGTGAGCACTGTTTTTCTCACCATGCGCATAAGTTTGTGCATGCTTTTACATTGCATGATACAGTTTTTACCTCTTATCTGCAGGGTGGCAACAGGAGGACCTCAAAGCATGCTAAACTCAAAGCAGCAACAGCATGGCAGTAAGGGGCTTCTATCCCAACTCTAACCCTTAGTAACTCCAATCCCCTTGCCAGGTTTTTGACCTACCTTTCTTTCCAGCTGGATCTTCATAAATGAATTTTAACTCAGATTTAAGAGGACTTCTGGGGCTGAAGGCAAGATCCGAGACTGCAGAACTGCTTCTGAGACTGCAGCAGATATCTTCTCAGGATCTCTCTCTTGAGACTAATCGCTCTTAAACTAGTGAATGGGGAATACCCATAGGAAACCTTGTAGCAGGATGAGGTCTGAGAGTTTTCCAGAAGAGGCTAAATGCAAAAGTTGAAAACTTGTCCCTTTCTGAGAATGGGCTGCCCTTTCCTGTTTCCTTCTGCCTCCTTTCAGAAGTTAAAGGAGACCCTTGAGACCAGGGCAGAGGAAAAAGGGGAGAGTACACACACATTTAGCTTCAAATCTGGGAACAGAGTGGTGATTTGAGTCAGTCAGAATTTTCTGTTGTGATTTACCTGTGCAGACCAAAAGCTGTTCAGAGCTCTGATGGTCAGGATAAGCTGAACTAAACCTTGCCCATTCAGACTTTGGTTGCTGTTACTCCTTGCTATACTGTGGAATGGTACACTGTAGAAGCGCTTTCTGTGGACTAGAAACAATAGCTGTGTACTGCTTTAAACACAGAACAGAGAGGCCGTCCCATCCCATACTTTGCATTCAAAGTATGACGCATAAATGGGAGCCTTGAGACATGGGAAGGAGTGTTTGTAAAGCTAACCAGAGAATCCTGTTCTCCCTCCTGAGAGGAGGTGTAGGTGTGGGAGTCGGAACCCGGGAGCCAGAGGGAAGTCTGGTTAAAATCTGTAGCGAAATAGCTGAGACCCTTCTCACGTTAGTCATCAGACTGTGTTTTTTTCCCCCTTCCTCTGTTGAAGCATCTTCCAATCAAAGTGAAGGGAGTGTTGGGTTGAGGGGGGGGCGAAGCAAGACCACTAGGAAATTCTTCCCTTCGCGTTTTAAATTAAAACCATCTGCTTCCTTCTGTGCATCTCCAGATGATATCACTTGGCCTGAATAGGAAACTCCCATGAAAATCAAACATCTGGAAGACTGGTTAAAACAGTCTATAAGGTGCATTTGAAGAGGCTGTCCTATGAATGTGCCCAAGCAAATATAGTACAGCAGATGAGGAGATTTTTCCAATAGGCCAGACATATTTTCCAGAAGTCTTTTGAAAGCCAGAGAGAACTAAGTATTGGGAGGTAACTTCAATGTAGTTTTGTGGCAGAAGAGCCAAATACGCAGCTTTTGTGAGTCTTCTACTTTCACTTCGTAGCGTTAGGTTGTTAGAGTGAATGCAGCTCTGTAGATTCGTGGATACTTCAGATTTGAATAAATACCTTAATTTTGTTTTTATGTCTCTTGTTTAGCTTCATGAGAGCCTGAGCTAAGGCAAATGCAGGCTGGAGCTGAAAAGGAGGAGGGAAAAAAAAAAAAAATGGGCTGAGCTCTGACTAAAGTATTTGTGCTGGAAAGTAGCCCAGAGAGAGTAAAGGAGAAGCTTTAATTAGAAGCAGCTGCATAGCTGATGCAGCCCACAGGACATTTTCCCATTTCAAATTCTCTAGCTTTTAGAAATCATGATTTGAATTAAGTTGTATGTGAAATTTGTCCTTAAAAGATTAAATTCCTGTTGAAGTAGGTTAAGAGACCTCATGTGCTTCCAGAAAGTGCCAGAACAAACTTCATCTTTCTGTTTCTGAGTGTTAGATGGAAAACTGAGGAGGAACAGTGGCTTTTATTTGGAAAAGATTTGGTTTCCCGTTCTGAGCATGTCATTTGGAGCTGACACAAGCTGCTACAATTTTAAGCTGCTCTGTAGACAAGTGGCGCTTTTTTTTTTTTTGTTCTCCTAAAGAGAACTTGAAAGAGTAGGTTGGGATGAGAGCAGAGGAGGGATGGTGGGAAGCTGGTGTTGCTGTTGAGGATAATCATATCCTTTAAAGAAGTCTGGACTTAGACCCCGCTTTTTTGCTGCTTGCCTCTAATTTTAGAGAAACAATGCGGTGCCTAACATGAATCAGGGGCAAATATTTGCAGTTTTGTCTACACCAACGTTTAGAACTAAATTACTAGTATTTGTGCCTAGAAATGTTGATGACAGGAGACATGGTTGAAAATCTGGACTGTAGGTTTTTTGTTCTTTAACATTAAAAAACGATTGCACTGAGTTGCTGGAGGGGAAGATTGCATAACTGTGTGACCAAGCACTTCTCCAGGAGGCGAACAAAATGGTGGGTACAAGGGCTGTATATACCTGACCTACCATCTTTCCACAGGCAGTCACGTTCCCTCTGACATATTCTGTAAGGCTCTGTCCTTCCAAATATAAAGAGCTAAAAGTTAAAAAGAGCTTTTGCTGTTCCCTGCTGGAGTGCTCCTTCATGTTTTTCTGATTAGCCTCAAAAGATACCGGAACAAGCCCGGTCTTGGAGTGCTCTTCAACTTTGTACCAGAACATTTGTGTACAAAATGCTGGGCTGTTTGTGGGTGATGGTTGTGACTGTTGTCTTAGAGCACAGGTCTCAGCTTTCCTTTCAAATCATACCAGCAATACTCTTAATCAGTGTTTAGGCTCCCTCCCCCTGTTACCTAGGGGCAACAGTTAAATGCACCTTCCCGTATCCCAGAGTGTTGGGGAGGTGGGAGAGAAGGCATATTTTGGTGGCTTATTTCCTTGTGGGCAAAACATGAGATGTTCCTCTAGAATTCCTAGTTTGTTTTGGAGCCTTTCAATGAAAAAACACTTTAGGACTTATCTTTTAGGTGTGTTTTCATTTATTTTTTATTTGTTGGAGTGGTGGGTGGTGTTGGAGGGCCTCTTGTTTGCCGGATGGGATGCCCTAGGTGCGGTTCTGTGAAGTTCTAGTTTGTTGCTCTTTCTTTTGTGATAAAGAGAACTACAAGTGCATGGCCTGTGTCTGCTGCTGTTAGTCTGAGGAGCTTGGTGTACTGCTGACACGGAAGACAGCTGAGCTGCCGAACCCCCCCATCACTGGTGGTAGTGAAACCAGAAGAAATGCCTATAATGAAATCTTGTAAGCCTTCTGGGACTGAAGTTCCGTTTGACTTTGCACATTCATCAGCTGCCTATAGATGTCCAGAAACATGATTTAATTCTAGTTATCCGGACAGTCTCCGAGCAGAGCTAGCCAGCGCACTCTGTACAGGCTTGAATGCCGTGGGAGTCAAGCTGTCCTCCAGCTTCTGGCACAGCTGTCTTTGCTGGGTGCCAGATTTCTATGTGATGGAGCTCCTACAAAGCCATGCTGTAGCCCGCTGGTGTTTGGACTGATTTCTAACCCGTATCGAGGAAGGGTTTGGTATGTTAAAGGAAGCCTATAGAACTGCTGTGGTTTAGGCCCAGAATACCCAAAGGTTGCCTCCCGTGTGATGTGGCAGCAGCTCATGCTGACCGACAGCCTTCAGCTGCTATATCGAGGATGGCAGAAGAGGCAGAGGATATTTTGCAAATGGTATTGTCTCAGCATTTGGTTTCTGTAACTTTATTAATCCTGCCTTGCCTTTCAAAAACTCTTCTTTCATGTCTGTTCTTGGGCACAAAGTTGAAAGTATTAAGGTATGGTGAAAGGAGACTAATTTGGGTGTGGGGAGTGGTAAATTACGATTATGCACATCTATTATATGACTTGCCTACTTTAGACATATGGCTAAAGCTAGTTAATAAATTTTAACATGAGAAGAAACAGTTGTGGTCATCTAGTAATGACCTCTTGCGTAACTGGGATAATAACCTCTCTGAATAGCTGTGTTTGAACTAGCGTGCATACTCTTTCTGAAACAGCCAATCCTGGTGTTCTTTTAAACAAGCATGAGTGATGGAGAAATTCCACTGCAACCTTAAATGCGTTGTTCCAGTTGTTTCTCTCCACTGCTGAGAGGTTCTGTATGTGTCTGAAGATAAAGATATTACCCTATTTCTAATTTGAATTTATCTAGCTTGAACTTTTAACTGCTCAGTCCTGTTATCCCTGTACCATCTGGATTGGGAATTATTGTTAAATCTGAGCTTCTTTGTGGGAACTTACAGCTTTTGATTAACTGCCGCTTTCTCTTTGCTTTGATAAATAGATTGAGCCACCTGAGCTTTTCATTGTGTCAAGAGTTTTCTATTAATCATTACTGTTGGCTTCTTTGAATTCGCTTCAGCTCTTCCTTCTTAAAGAGCAGACGCCAGGACTGATGTAATGGTCCGGTAATGGTTGTGCCATGCAAGTATCAGGTGTAGCATAATCTTATTTACTCCTACTTGATATTTGCTGTTTGTACAACTAAAGTATTCCTGACCAAACTGTCACACTAGGAATTCACATTCAGCTGACTGTTAGGAACACCCAGAGCGAGTCTGTCTTTCCCAGATCAGTCTCCTGTTTTGGGGAGGGTGCTTTATATGTTTTGTTTCTAGAGATATGACTTCTCAGTGCTTAAAGTGCACTTTGCATGCTGACTGCCTTGTTAAGCAGTTAGTGTTACTACTCTCTATCAAGAACTTGTCTTCTCTCTTACCTATGTGTTTGACCAGCATTGATGTCTTCCATTGTTATTCATGGATAGAACTGTTGAATAGCATAGGAACAAAGGCAGATCCCTGCAGTATTCTGTTAAAAACACAGCTTCATGACTGTTCTTTGATTTTTAAACAAAATTTTAAGGCCTATCCAGTTAGGTGGTGGTTTTGGGTTGGTTTTTTTCAATCCAACATACACTTTTAAATGCATAAGGAAAAGGCAGTCTCTTTACTGTTACATTCTCTTCTCAGGGCTAGCCAGAGACTTTGTGTGCATTTCTTACAGTTGGAATCTCTTCCCTTTGGATTTGAGCAACTCATTGATTTAATAATTGCACCTATCGTGTTCTGGAACATAGTGCATCTAATATTCACCTCTGAATTTTTTTGCAGTGAAATACATGTCCTCTCAGGCTATGTGTATCTTGGGTGCTTACCAGTTAAAGCATGCAGCTATGCGCTATAGAAAAAAAACTGCAAGTGGATGGTCCTGTTTGTATGTTAGGTGTTATTTTTATCCAGTATAAAATCTTGCAGCTTTCTGCTACCTGAAGGAAGTAAATGGAACCGTGGGTGACACAAAGGTGGGGTTTGCAGGCTTGCTTGCCTGGGTCCTGTATTGCTGGAAATTAAATGGAAAATTCGTAGTACAAAGGCCAGTTAAAAGATGGATTACAGCTGACAAGTGTAGTCAGACTGTATTGACATAAGTTTAGGTTAGAGAGAAATAACTGCAATTATTCTGCAATCGCAGATCTTTGTATAAAATATTACCCTAGTTGTAGATAGTGTGTGTGTACTTGTTTTTCTGTGGGAGACAGAGGAACAATGACCTTGTCGTTAGGGTGCTAGTCAGGGGCGTGGGAGACCTGACTTCAGGGCTTGCGCTGCTAGCTGAGTGCAGACTTCAGCATGTCACAGTCCCAGATGCACTTATCAACAAGAGGATAACAGTATATTCTTCCTGTCTCACGGGAGTGTTGTGGAGAAAGATCTGCTGCAGATCTTCAGGCCCTCAGACACTGCATTTGTGCAAGGTTTATAAATATTTTGGAAGATGAATTATACCTGGTGTTAATACCTATTACTGAAACAGCTTGATTTTCTTCTAAAAAGGGATGCTTATTAGAATGGGAGTAGGTGCAAGGAATTGTTACTCAGCAGTTCTTTAGCACTTAAGCTTTTACTGAAGTTTTGAAGGGAATTGTGAGAACAAGTTCTTGCATTTGACATAACTCTGGTTGTATGCAGTATTTATTTTGTAATGAGCAATTTCACAATTTGAACTTAAGTTTTCAGTGGTCGCATTTGGGACAGTACCAGAGGAAGGCCTTGTTAGATCTATGATGTTAGCATTTAGGTCTGTTAGCGTTACCATTAGTTATGGCAAATTCCAAGACTCGCAGTGGCTGTGGGACTTCATTCCTGGTATCTTCCCAGGACAACAAGGCTTTGGGTGAATGTGCCGTTAGTAATTTCTTCTCTGTTGCAGGTGTCGAGAAGGCTTTCTTGGAGACTACTGTCAGTACAGAAACCCCTGTGAAAGCAATACCTGTAAGAACGGGGGAACCTGTGAAACTACGTCTCTGATAGGAAAGGCTACCTGCAAATGTGCTCCAGGGTTCACAGGAGAGGATTGTCAGTACTCTGAATCGCACCTCTGCTACGTGTCCCAGCCCTGCCTGAATGGAGGAACTTGTCATCCCCACAGCCAGGAAACGTACGAGTGCGTCTGTCCTCCAGGTTACACAGGTGGGGTTCTGTGGTTGTACCTCCAGACTCTCTTCTTTGTGAATTGCTTCATCCTGGAATGTTTTGGGGCAGTCTTAATACACTCTCAAACTTAGTAGCTCCAGCACAGGAAATAAGAAGTCATCTAAATGACTTCATGACCAAAAAAAGCAAAGTGGGGTAGGGAATCAAACTCCATACCCTTTACATGTAAGCAGAAAGACATTTGGATCTTGTCGGGTTGTCCATGTGGGAAAACTGAGTGCAGAGGCTACTCTGGAGTGGCTGTTACACTTTGAATTGAGAGTCTACCTTCTAGAAAAAAATGAAGTAAATTTGGCCAGCCAAATCTTTTCTATGGGAAAATTATAATCGGGTGCCTGAGGGGAAGCATGGAAACTCACATCCTTTCATTCTTGAAGGGGGATGTAGAAGAAAAGTGACTGTCAGTGTGTAGTATGATTTCAGGTCATGGCTTATTTTTATAAATCACAACATTCTATATCTTGCTGTTACCCTGTAAATAAAATGACTTCGTACTGTAACCACAAATTGAGTTCTGTTTCAAATATAATACTGTAAAAGGCAGACGTATATTTTCCTGTAATAATTTTAAGTTTTAGTACACCAATCATTTTGAGGTAGCATGAAGGAAATACTATTTTCCATAGAAATAACTTTTCATTAATGGAGTGCTCTGTCTTGATCCTACAGGAAAGGATTGCCAGTGGATTGATGCCTGTACATCTCAACCTTGTGCCAATGGAAGTACATGTACTGTATCTGGAAATAAGTTCTCCTGCATCTGTCTGTCTGGCTACACTGGCCAGAAGTGTGAGATAGATGTGAATGAATGTGCCACACCAGGCCTTTGTCAACATGGTGGGACCTGTGTCAATTTGCCCGGCTCATACCGATGCCAGTGCAAGCCAGGCTATACAGGGCATCGCTGTGAGAGCGTATATGTACCGTGTTCCCCATCACCCTGTATGAATGGAGGAACTTGTCATCAAACAAGTGACTTCACCTTTGAGTGCAACTGTCTGCCAGGTAAATGATGCTTCTTCAGAGTGCTTGGTTTTGTAGTCTTATCACTGCATTCCTGTCTGTGTTCCTCTGAAGGCTTCTTTTGGAGTTTGTGTGATACTAGTGTAATGTAAGGTTGAAGGGAGAAATCTCAGCAAGGCAGGAAGCTATGCTAGGATGTTAATTTCTGAGTGCCAGGATTTCATAACGTGGAAGGGAAGAAAAGGGAAGAAGGCTAGAAATGACAGATTTCTTTGGAACCCAATTAGAGGCAGAGAATCAAATAGGTAAGAACTACAAGGTAGGTTCAAGATTAGGGTGTTATCTCCTGATGCCCATTTGGAATGCTAAATTCCATGAACATAAACCTCTACAAATACATAGCTTTGTTTCGGTAAAGGCCACAGTTAACTTCGGTGCTTGAATGAAGATGAACATTTGTCTTTTTCTTTCTCAGTCTTTACTCTTAAAACATACTAGTTTCTATTCCCTTCCCTTTTCTCCTCTAGTTCCTCCAAATCTTAAAAGAGATCATTTCCAACTCGCCGTGCCCTTTTTGTTCTGTAATACCTCCAGATAAATTACCCTTGCTTTTTTTTTTCTGATGCTGTTAGCTGCCCTGAGTTCATCCGCAGCAGGGCTGACAATCATGGGCTGTATTGGTTTTGTGTGTCAAGCTGTGCTCCAATCACCAAGGCACCCGTCTCTACAAATTACCATATGTCACCTGGTTGGGACCCTGGTGGTCTCATCCTGTCCTGCTCCTGCCGATCCACTTGTCATCCTGGCCACAGGGCAGTGCTAGTCGTCTTTGCACATCAGTTTTTTTTTAGGCTGATGTTTTTTTACTGAGTAATTCAGTCCATGGGAAACTGATTGTTTGGAAATGCTTTTGACTAGACTTCCTAGTTAAGTGTATTGAAGTTTGGCACATGAGCACTTGGTGTGTGGTAATCTAGAAAAGTAAACTCTCTTCCCTTAAGCATTTCTTTGTTGCTGTTTATGTGAAAGATGTAGCTGTCATGTACTGTTTAGGATGAATGTAGAGTGACTGCATTCTCATGAGGATCATCTGGAGTCGTAGGTGTGTGTAGAAAGAGCATTTAGAACTTAACTCTCTTTTTGGAGACCTTTGTCTTGAGTGTTTGTTCAAATGACCTTAAATGTACATTGCCAACCTTAGCTAGTGCCTGCACAACAACTTTCTGGGTTGTCTGAGCAAGCATGTGACTTTGAAGAATTCAGGAAAGTTGATCTTAAAATAGAAGGATGTATCATCTTTATTTTTGTGTGAAAGCAGCCATTTGTAACTATGCTTGAAGAAACAGTGCTTGTACATACAGGGTCTTTGAAAATGCCATATCTTAACTAATAGTTGCTCTCAGGGAATTTGCTGCTTTTCTGCTATGCATCTTTTTAAAAGGAAATTGTAAATGAAGTAGCTCTGGATTAACAGGCTTGATCTGAAATTCAGAATTTTCTTAGTCAGATCTGTTTAGCCTGCTTAAGGAGTTTAAGATCTCATGCCGAAGCAGCGTGGTGGGGGAAGAGGAGAGGAAGATGAAGTTTGAAGGACTTGATCCTGTAAAGCTGATAAGACAGCTTGCTTTTGTGATTCTGTTACAGGGGCACGAGACTGGGTAGGAGCACATTTTCCCTTTAGACAAGCGTGTGGGCTGGCTAAACTATGGTCAGGAAATGAAAATGAGATTACTATAGTAACAGTTACACACCCACACTGCTCACACACGTTTTGGGTTATTAGCTGCTTTTTTGGACTTGTTACACAACGTATATAGTGGGGGTGAGTTAATGCAGCTTTGAGAGCCTTCACTTCTGTATTTCCTGTATTTGTTTAAGTTGGCCTTGTTGTTTTGCTAGCTTGATTTTTAAAACTAGTCATTTGAAAAAAGAAAAGAAAAAAAAAAAGGTTGGACAGGCCAAAATGCTTACGTTAAACTCTTTGATAAAGGCAAGGCACCCAGCCATTTCTTCCTTAACAGTCAAGCATGCAGCATGAAATTTCTGAAGTGTTGGAAAAGGTTCTGTCTGGGAAGGAAAGGTCAACAGAGAGAGAAGAGAAATGGTGGTCTGTCACACCCAGGGAAGATGTGAACAAGACCTTCTCATCTGGAAGAGAGTGCCAAGAGTATGGACTAGAAATTCCTCTTTAGACTCCTTCTCCAAATTGGAGGAATGCCGAT